CCAATCTAATTTCATTTAGGATATAAAGTACATTAGTTATTCTGCACCTTTAAATCATCATATACTATCTATAAAACTAGTTTATTCTCGAAACATTACTTGTCAAAGCAACTATTACTATAATACCTAATCTTTTAGTAATTTAGACTGAGTCTGAGAACAAGTATTTGTGAGCTGAAGCTACTACTATTATCTACTTAACCTTTGTAGAGTTTACCTAAATCTTAGTAACTCTTCTTCAAAACAATCTGATACTATTTTCTTTTTAGTATTCTCTAGCCGGTTTTTCTAGACTACCAATCCAAATAGATACCAGTCCTTTGGAATTTGCTAATTTTTTTCTTCTAGTCAATGCTCCAGTAGTCTGGTTAATGAAGCAACTTGCTGGTACTCTTGTTTTATTCAGTTAACTGGCCTTGGGTAAAGCCTATTTTAGTAGTCACTCTTGAAAGTTTGTACTATCTTTCTACTCAGATCTTGCTAAACGAGCATCTTTCTTTTTGGTTTCTTGATATTATATGATTGTATAACTTATATATTATATGATTTTTTAATCTTGTTGGTGCTACCAAAGTTACAAAGATCTTGTTCCAACTGATTGTCAAAAGACATAACTATCATACAAGCAAAATTTTCAAATTTCTATTGTCAGTAGGTTTTAAACCTCAACTTGCCAACATACTACTTGGGAGTATAACAACTTAATCACTTCACTAAATCATCACATCCTTGTTAATTGATATTTATTAAAATTTTAATTATATTGTTATAGAATAGTTTATTATTTAAGTTACACAGCTTATCCCCAAAAAATTTTCCTGCACATGATGATCATCCCGCTTTTTTTTCGTATTCATGTAACGTCCCTGCAGATCGGATAACTTTGATATTTTTTTTTACAGTCACGACTAATCGAATTGGTGGTTCTTATAATGGAGAATTTTTTCAAAGTTTCGTTATAAAATAATTTACTAAGTCTTTATATCAAACTCTATAATAGTTTTTTTTTTAAAAAAGGTTGTTATAGTATGTTTGTCATAAAAAGGTTCGTTATATTCAAAGTTTACTGAAATAAGAATATTGTTATTGGGTTTCAGTATTTAAGAATATTTTGCCACCTACCAATCTCTAGAATTCTAAATATTTCAAATACCAGAATTGTCATATATATTCTAAAAAATCAAAACTCTTAAAAGCATATACCGGTTATTTATTTAATTTTTTTTTTTATTGCAGCAACCACATATTAACGGGAATGCAAAGGAAGCAGTATTGGCCTATGTCCTATTATGACTTATTAGCAATTATAGGTTATAATCTTATGATCTGTTATGACTTATAAAATTTATGACCACCTTGGTCATATAAAGTTGGATATGATCCAAAATGGCTAATACTGAAAGGAAGTATAGTCAACTATTACTGATAGTACTGGAAGAAAAAATAATTATAGAAATTGATGTTTTCAATACTAAACTATTAGATCCAGAGTTTGTAATATAGAGGTTCATATATTTAGAATAGGGTTGGGCAAATTTTTAAGTTGTATTTTAGTTTACATATAAGTATCGCTAAAAGAAAATCTGAAAATTTAAATATAAGCCAGAATTTAAATTTTCAGGTTTCTTTTAGTGACACTCATATTTTATACTAAAATACTTATTGTAACTTATATCAAAAATTTGAGACTTACACAACCCTAATTCAATTATGAATACAATTTGCAATTAATCTATCTTTAGTACTCGGGGTATTTTATATTCACAAGTGCAATTAATTCGTCCTTAATACCCGAAGTACTTTATATTCTAGGCTTCCAAAAATTGTGAAGAGTATTCTAAAAGAGCGTCTTTTAGTCCATGCTGTGCAGTAGTACTGTGCTTATAATAATAGATTGGTTTTATTCAAAAACATAAACTATAAATTCTATATTTTTTATTGTAGTTTTCAAGACATTTATAACTAAGTTTATTTATTTAAAAAATATTTATTAATTTATAATCTATTATTATACAAATAGGGAAGATAATATTAATACAATTACAGCTAAAAATTCTTCACAAATGATAATAATTTTAAGTATTATAATTTATTTTTATGTAGTTTTATAAAACATCGTTTGTTTGTCATAATCTTTCCATGTTCTTGGCAATGTTTTTCTATTCTTCAACACATTACATTTTGCTAATATTTTTTCTATTCTATACATTGTATTTTCAGCAGCTAACAAAAATCAGATATCTTTATATTGCTCTTGACTTTAATAAATCATTCCATTTCTGAAGCTTTTTTGTGATATGGCTATTAACTTCTTTCTATACTTTATTAGATTCTTCAACAATTACATTATCAATCTAATCATTGCTTTTTTTATATTCTTGGAGTGCTTCCGCAAGTTTCTCGTCAGTTTCATCATTTTGTTCTACATCTTCTATTAATATATTTTTCTTATTAATTAGCTCAGATTCTTCATCAAGTTCATCTTTCTTGACCGGCTCTAAACCTTGTGCTAGTGGAATTAGATCATTATGCTTCCAGAAAGGTGGGAATCTATGTCATGTGACTTCATTAAAGAAGTTTGGTTTTAAGGAACGAACGGATTGGACCAGGTGTTTGCAAAGAAAGAAACAGCTGTTAAGATAAGCTGGACATGAACACGTCCACATTTTTGGATCAGTAACATATGAATCACCACTTAACATTTTTTTTAAACACATTTTCCAATCACATTTAAAAGCAGAATGCCATGATGCTACAGTCCTTATTCTGTGATCTGATTTCATTTGTTGCATTTTAATCATATATCAGAGAAGAAGACGCTCAGTAAGAATCTATACAAATAAGTCGACATGTGGCTTATTAAATTTATAAATATAATTATGTTTAATAAGTTTCCAATATGATTTTACAATCATTGTGGTTTTTAATATTGAAATTTCATTTTTGCACTCTGTACCCAATTAGGCCATTTCAACGAATTATACCACTCTATCCACAAATATGACCATACCCATTTAAGATTATTATTCTTGCAGTATATATACATTTTTTTAACCACAAATTCATGGATTTGATTAGAGAAATTATACTGCATATCAGCTGCAAGGATATACAGATGTTGATTAAAGTATTTGGTTATAAGACTGAGAATATACCTGTAATGCTCTATTGGATAAAAGATAAATGTTATTTGCTGTTGTAATATATTTTCAGGATAAAAATCAAGATCGATAAACGAAAATTTAGTATTTGCTTGATTTGTAAAGTATCTAGTTATTTTTGGCATTTTTTAACCCTAACTGCCTCTTGATTGCTTTTTTTAGATGCCAAAAAACAAAGCTGAATATTTGCTTCTGGCCATATCATTTTTGTTGCTAAAATCTGAGCTGAATCTTTATCTGTCATTATGAAAAATAGGTTGATTCCTACGTGGTGCAGCTTATCAAAAAAATAGGTGATCATTTTCATGCAGGCTCCGTCGTTAATTGCGGTTGCTGTGATTAATAGCATATAAGCTAGTAAGAATCTCATCCTGTCTATCTTGGCAAGTACTGAATATAGCTCGAGATTCATCTTGTTAGTGTTATCTGAATTGTAAAAAATTATTAATAAGAATTTTTTAAATTTAATTATATTAATTAGTGTTGCATACTAAATTCTCTAAAACTCGGCAAAGTAAATTCCATCAAAAATCTGATTCCAATTTTTAAAATTGGTAAAAATTAACAAGATATCTAAAGGTTCTGAATCTTTGAAACCGAAAGTAGAAATATATATTAAGTGTAGGTAGTACTTTTCTAAAATGAATAATTAATTTAATATTTGAGCACTAGTGATAAAAAAAAAAAACCGTAAACCTAATTTTATATTTATTCCTATTTATAATTCTGTTTTTTAATATCCTCATAATAAGGAATACTAGGAGGATTATTTATAAATCTAATTCTAAATAGGTTGATGGTTTTCAAAGCAATTTTGAGGATTAAAATTTTCAAAAGCTTCAAATTTGAACAAAATCGAAATGCCAAAGATGATTCTTGAAGTTTAGCTTACAATACTAATATTAATACATACATGTCACATCTATATCGATCTCGACTGTATTTATACCTAACCTGTTGATAATTTTCGTAATTTCAAAGCTGATCATAATAACACTATCATCTATAATATTTATTAATATTTCAGTATAATTGTATACTTCAATAATTTTAATAGCTGATTGAATTTGATCATCATCTTTTTTCCAGATATGTTGACTGAGATTTATTCACCAATAATAAATCTGTTTCTCAGTAATATTCGGCCTTTCTGTACCAAGATTTTCTCAAATAACCTGAGGCGTTTGATGAAGATTATTTTGAACGTATTCTTTTATTTCACTCATAACGTGTATATTAGCATATTCAGTATGATATTCATAGATTAGTTCAGTAATAACTTTTTTTTTTTCTGTATCTACAGTAATCTTCAACCAGCCTTTGCAATGGAACCATTGTATTGGCAAACGATCTCTATGCTTAGTGGGATTTTCATATTTTTTTAGCTTTTTTTGTCAGTCAATTAGTTGTGTATAGTGGTATTTGAACATAGTTAGATTATCCAATTTCTGTATAAGTTTATCTTTGTAACTTTAAAAAGGTTAGTTTGTTAATTAGGGTATAAGTTTTTTTGCTAAATGTGTTTTATTTATATTTGCTTATTTGAATTTAAAGTTTATAGTCGCAAGAATATTATTTGAGATATACGTCGCAATATCTTTTGGGTCAATTGGAGCCGTATATTTGTTGATAT